GTTTTTAATGAGTTGTGAGCCGCCCAGAGTCCCCCATTGGGGGGAGGTGGGGGGGGATAAATTTAATAAATAAATAAATAAATATAATGGAGGAACTGACATGTTCTAACCTTACAGTTCCCAGGAATGCCCTGGGGCACCGCAGCAAACTCACATGGGTGCCACAGGATACCTTATTACTTAATAAACAGAATAGTTTGTGAATTTGTTGCTGCACCCTGAGGTGATGCAGTTTGGGGACCACCAGGGATGCGGTAAACTGAGAAAGTTTGGGAACCTCTGCTCTATCAAAACAGACATAGCACACCATATGGGCATACCTCAACCTATTCCAGAACTTGGGGGAGGGGGGGAAGGGGGAAAGAGGTTTTCAGAGATTGTTTAAAGGCTTGTAGGGTTGGGACAATCTGAACCTCTAGAGGGATGCTATTCCAAAGGGCCAGAGTCATACCAGAGTTGGTGTACTTCTTAGGTCCCATCAGATGTTACTACCTAATGACATGAAATGCAGCCACTTATTGGATCTTATGGGACAGGCAAAAATTATGGGAAAGAGAAACAGTGCCTCAGATAGCCAGTCCCTATGCCATGAATGGCTTTATAGGTGATGAGTATCCCTTTGAAGTATACCCAGAAGCTAACCAGTGCAGCTTGTGGAGCAGAGGTATTACATGGGTGTACCAACTTGTGCCCATAACTGCTCATGCCACTACATTCTGGCCCAGTTGTAGCTTCCCAATGTTTCCAAGGGAAGCCCCATTTAGAGTACATTGCAATAAGCTACTTCCAAGGTGACCAAGACATGAGTGACATAAGAAGGAACTCCCAGTCCAGGAAAGGGTGCAATTGATGATGAATCTGAGCAAAGGCCTTCCTTCTTTTGAGCAGGAGCTATGAGTCCAGGAAGACCGCAAATTGCACACCGTTATGCATGGGAAAGTCCCACTCCATTCAAAACCAAAAATAGAGAATGTCTAGCATTAAAACAATCATGCACCAGTAGCCATTCAGTTTTGTCAGGACTGAGTTTATGTGTGTTCCTCCCCATCCATATCCAAACAGCCTGTAGGCACTGGAACAAATTCTCAATAGCAATCCTTGATCAATCAGGATAAGTATCACCCCGTGCTGGTAGATGACCTCATCCAGTGGTTTCACGTAGATGTAAAACAAGAAGGGCAAGAGTGTCAAGCCCTGAGGCACCCCACAAACCAGGGGCTGGACATCTCCCCACTTGTCAAGACTGACTGCAACCAGCCATGGATAAAGGAGAATTACCATGCCATGCCCACCACTGCCAAATCCCACAGCTGATCCAGAAGAATACGTGATTGATGGTATCAAAGGCTTCTGAGAGATCAGGAAGAACCAGGACAATTGGACCACCTTCTTCCCAGCTCTGCCACAGGTCATAAACAATTACAATTAATGCTGTGTCTATACTATGCTCCAGCATGAAATTGGACTAATTCACTTCTTTCAGAGTCCCCTGGAGCTATATTTATAAAAGGTTCAGTATATTTATAACATATGCACAATACATGACAAGAACTCATTTAAATGC